ACTATGTTGATCCTCCCAATCCAAGAGCATGGGAGATCCTTACATTTTCTGGTATCCTCTTCAATTTCTTTTTTCAAAGACTTAAAGTTCTTGTCAAATAGATCTTTCACTTCCTTGGTTAGAGTTACCCCAAGATGCTTTATGCTATTTGTGGCTATCATGAAAGGTGAAGTTTCTCTGATTTACCTTTCTGCTTCATTGTTCTTTGTGTATAGGAGGGCAACTGATTTTTTGGAGTTGATCTTGTATCCTGCCACATTACTAAAGGTATTTATCAGCTGTAGGAGTTCTTTGGTAGAGTTTTTGGGGTCGCTTATGTACACTATCATGTTATCTGCAAATAATGAAAGTTTGACTTCTTCCTTTCCAATTCGAATCCCCTTGATCTCCTTATGTTGTCTTATTGCTATTGCTAGAACTTCTAGCACCATATTGAAGAGGTATGGAGAGAGTGGACAGCCTTGTCTTGTTCCTGATTTTAATGGACTGGCTTTGAGTTTCTCTCCATTTAATTTGATGTTAGTTGTCGGCTTGCTGTATATTGCTTTTATTATATTTAGGAACGAACCTTGTATCCCTAATCTCTCCAAGACCTTTATCATAAAGGGGTGTTGAATTTTGTCAAATGCTTTTTTAGCATCTAATGAAATGATCATGTGGTTTTTTTCTTTCAGTTTATTTATATTATAGATTAAATTGATAGATTTTCATATGTTGAACCATCCCTGCATCTCTGGGATGAAGCCTACTTGATCATAATGTATAATTTTTTTGATGTGTTCTTGGATTCGGTTTGCCAGTATTTTGGTGAGAATTTTTGCATCGATGTTTATGAGTGAGATTTGTCTGTAATTCTCTTTCTTGGTTGAGTCTTTGTGTGGTTTTGGTATCAGGGTAACTGTAGCTTCATAAAAAGGGTTTGGCAGGGAGCCTTCTGTTTTATTTTTGTTTGTTTGTTTGTTTTGAAACACATTAAGGAGTATAAGTATTAGCTCTTCTTGGAAGTTCTGGTAGAATTCTGCTTTGAAACCATCTGGTCCAGGGCTTTTTTTGATAGGGAGGTTTCTGATGACAGCTTCTAATTCCTCACAACTTACAGGTCTATTTAAATTTTTTACCTGGTCTTGATTTAATTTTCATATATGGTACTTATCTAAAAATATGTCTATTTCTTTCACATTTTCCAATTTTGTGACATATAGGCTTTTGTGGTAAGATCTTATGATTCTCTGAATTTCCTCTGTGTCTGTGGTTATGTCTCCCTTTTTATTTCTGATCTTGTTAATTTTTGTGTTCTCTCTCTGCTGTTTGATTAGTTTGGATAGGGGTTTGTCAATCTTGCTGATTTTCTCCAAGAACCAGCTTTTGTTTTATTGATTCTTTCGATTATTTTCTGTGTTTCTATTTTGTTGATTTTTAGCCCTTAGTTTGATTATTTCCAGTCTTCTACTCCTCCTGGGTGAATCTGCTTCTTTTTTTTCTAGAGCTTTCAGGTGTGCTGGTAAGTCTCTAATGTGTGCTTTCTCTGTTTTCTTTATGTGGGCACTTAGTGCTACGAACGTTTCTCTTAGCACTGCTTTCATAGTGTCCCATAGGCTTGGGTATATTGTGTCTTTATTTTCATTGAATTCAAGGAAGACTTTAATTTCTTTATTTCTTCCTTGACACAGGGGCGGTTCAGTAGTTGAATGTTCAGTTTCCATGAGTTTGTAGGCTTTCTGGGGTTAGAATTGTTGTTGAATTCTAACTTTATTCCATGGTGATCTAATAGTACACAGGTGGTTACTACAATTTCTTTGTATCTATGGATGTTTGCTTTGTTACCAATTATGTGATCATTTTTTGAGAAGGTTTTTGTAAAATGCTGAGAAGAAGGTATATTCTTTTCTGTTTGGGTGGAATGTTCTATAGATGTCTGTTAAGTTCATTTTGGTTCATTACATCTGTTAGTTCTGTTATTTCTCTGTTAAGTTTCTGTCTGGTTGACCTGTCCATTGGTGACAGAGGAGTGTTGTAATCTTCTACTCTTAGAATGTTGGGTTTGATGTATGCTTTGAATTCTATTAATGTTTCTTTTACATATGTGGGTGCTTTTATATTGGGGGCATAGATATTCAGTATTGAGACTTCCTCCTGATAAATTTTTCCTGTTATGAGTATAACGTGTCCTTCTCCATCTCTCCTCATTGACTTTAGTTTGAAATCATTTTTGTTAGATATTAGTATAGCCACACCCACTTGTTTCTTTGGTCTATTTGATTGGAAAACCTTTTCCCAACCCTTTACTCTGAGGTAGTATCTGTCTTTGAGTTTGAGGTGTGTTTCTTGTAAACAGCAGAATGTTAGATCCTGTTTTCGTATCCATCCTCTTAACCTGTGCCTTTTTATAGGTGAATTGAGTCCATTGATATTAAGTGATATTAATGACCAGTGGTTGTTAACTCCAGTTATATTTTCTGGTGGTAGTGTTTGTATGTTTCCCTTCTTTGAGTTGTGCTGGTGGAGGGTTGTCAGATGCTTGTGTTATTATGGGTGTTGTTGGCTTCCTTGGTTTGTGATTTTCCTTCTAGTATTTTCTGTAAGGCTGGGTTTGTGGCTACATATTGTTTAAATCTGTTTTTGTCCAGGAATATCTTGTTTTCTCCATCGATGGTGAATGCAAGCTTTGCTGGCTATAGTAGTCTGGGCTTGCATCCATGGTCTCTTAGTGTCTTCAGCACATCTATCCAAGACCTTCTGGCTTTTATGGTTTCCATTGAGAAGTCAGGTTTAATTCTGATAGATTTCCCTTTATATATTACTTGACCTTTTTCCCTTGCAGCTCTTAATATTAATTCTTTATTCTGTATGTTTTATATTTTGATTATTTTTTTTGATCCAGTCTATTTGGTGTTCTGTATGCTTCTTGTACCTTCATAGCATTGTCTTGGCATCTTGGTCCGATCTTTGCTGTGGCTGTCTGAGTACTTGGGAGTTTTTCTTGATCTGCCCTCTATTAGTTCCCCTCAGTATTGGAGCAAGTTCTATTGCAGGGTTCCAAGGACCTCTCAGACAAAAAGGCATGCTTGGGGTCAGGGTGGGTTGGGGGAAAGCCCAGCAGCAGGAACATTCCCCACTGGTTAGCCAGAAAAGCCTAGGGAGTTGAGGAGGGGCCCCTGGGTTCTGCCCCACTGGGAAGGTCCCAGAGAGTGGTGCTTCTGGCTGTCCAGCCCTGTGGCTGCTGACTCACCTCTCTGATCCCCCAAGCACTGGAGGAGCCTGTGTTACAGTGTTCCAAGGAACTCACAGATGAAAAGGCGGGCTTGAGGGCAGGTTGGGTTGGGGAAAGCCCAGCAGTGGAAACACTCCCGTTGGCTGGCCAGAAAAGCCACGGAGTTGGGGAGGGGCCCCTGGGTTCTGTCCCATTGGTAAGATCCCAGAGGCTGGGATGTCCAGCTGTCCAGGCTTGTGGACGCTGACTCATCTCTCAGGTCCCCTCAGCACTGGAGGAGCCTGTGTTGCAGGGTTCCAAGGACCTTGCAGGTGAAAAGGCAGACTTGGGGGAAAGGTGGGTTGGTAGTTGAGGTAAAGATAGCTCAACAGCAGGAACCCTCCCTGCTGGTTCTCTGGTCCCCTCAGCACTGGAGCAGGCTGTGTTGCAGGGTCCCAAGGACCTCACAGGTGAAAAGGCAGACTTGGCGGAAGGGTGGGTTGGGAAAAGAAAGCCCAGCAGCAGGAACCCTCCCTGCTGGCTGGCCAGAAAAGCTTAGGAAGCTGGGCTCAGATGGTTTCAATACAGAATTCTACCAGAACTTCAAAGAAGAGCTAATACCAATACTCCTCATGAGCCTGTGGCAGAGGGGGTAGACTTTCCTATTAAAATCATAACACCCTCACTTTTTTCCTAGATCGCTCATACTGTGATAACTTGGTGGGTTTGGGGACCCTGTTTCATGTTAGAGCCTCTCCTCAATTACCTTCTGCTCTGTCTGCTCTTTTACATCTCAGAATAAACCACTAACTACTTGCTTGGCAGTTTCCTGTGTAGTGATAGAGTATATCAATCTTCATTTGTAAGTGAAGTTGGAAAGAAGCAATCAGCTGAGAGAGAGAAAATGGAAGAAGTTTCTTCCAGGGTGATTTTTGCTTTGAGTTCAGTTGTTTGTATATGACACCAGTTCTATGGATTTCTGCTAATCAGTAGATGAATGATGGCCTTCTTGCTGTAACCCTCTTCTTTTGACAGTTATTAAAGCATCCTAGGATTTTTTAAAATAAAGGATCTACTTCCTATAAAAAGCAGAAAGAGAAAACATAAAATAGTTATGTCTTAGATCTTCAGATAAACTCGACAGTCTTCAAACCTTAGGAATAGTAAATTTTAACTGTTACCTATCCAATCATTCATTCTTGCACTGCTGAAATTTCAGGCACAGCCACAGCCAGATGTTCCACCTCTCCCAGGGCTTTACATTTGCATAAAACAAACAAAGAAACAGGTCTTCCCTTCTTGGAGCTGATAGAGGAAACAGACTGTAGTCACAACAACTGAGGTGTCTAATCACAAATTGTGATTAGGGCTTTAACAGATGTGAGCTGACACCAGAGAAAAGATCAAGTTGACATTCTAAAGCATTTATTTGAGTCAATAGCAAAATTTACGGATTGGGCAATACCAGACCACAGTTGTCCCGGGCTTCTCAGAAGATAAAGGGGAAAAATATTTTTATGATACTCATAGAAGTAAACCCAAGAAAAAAGCTGCTTCGTTAAAGTGGAGAGTTTATAGTTAAAGCTTATTCAGTGGATTCTCATTAGTTGATCTTTCAAGTTAGTCTGTTTTAAGTAGGAACCTGGAACACTGGAGCCACTTTAGCCTAAGTGGTCTCCTAAGTAATTTTTCAAACAGTACAATTATGCACAAGAGCAAAGGTCTATTTGGAGGCAATAATTAAAGCTGCTCCAAAGAATTGGCATTTAAAGTGAATTGAGACTCTCTGAACTCATTTATTTAAACAATAACAAAGAATCAGTGAGGTAGATGTATTAGTATTTAGTGACTTATTAATCGTTTTGTATTTCAAACCATTTACTTTTTCTTAAATAAGCTTCCTTGCTGTGGGAGCACATTCCTTTCCTTCAGCCAATAGCATTTAAGATACCAGCCCACTTGGGCGTGGTTTCTTATACTGGAAATGTAGCTGTAAAGCATGTGCTCTCTGTCTAGCTTCCCACTCTTGCTTCTGGAGGCTGCTAGACTCTGTTCCTTTTCAAGCAGTGGACTCTTATCTAGGACAGTGATCTGTAAGTTTCCCTAAAACAAATAACCCTTTATTATTCATAATTCTAAACTACTGTGGGATTATTTTGTGACTTCTGCCTTCACTTCCTTTTTTTCTGGGTGTTTTAAAAATAAGTACACTATTTTTGTTTTAGTTTTGTTCTGGTTTTATGACAGGGTTTCTCTGTGTAGCCTTTTCTTCCCTGGAACTATCTCTGTAAACCAGGCTGGCCTTGAACTCACAGAGATTCACCTGTTTCTGCCTCCCTCCCGAGTGCTGGGATTAAACTCATGTGTCACCATCCCCCAGCATACGCAGATTATTTTAAACATAAGAGCTGTATCCTTTTCTTGGGAATTGTGAGCTCAGTTTGCAAATGAAAAGTGTTTTCTGCTCCAGCCAGAGTCAGTGACCCTCTGTCATTCACCTCAGGACAGGCTGGCATCCACAGGGCTCCTCCCACAGAATCCTTTATTTCTGAGTCTCCAGGATGACTGCAAGCTTATATTTTTCTCTTGATCTTCTTGAAAGTCAAGCTCAGATCAGTCCAATCTTCAAAGTTCCCAGGGTGAGGAGAAAAATAAGTTTTTAATCAGGGAGCAGAGTAAGGAGGAGTCTGGATGAACAGTGCCATAGATTAGTAATTGGGCTAGAAGGAAGAGGAGAAGATGGGAAAATGAAGAATTGGAAAGACATTGGAGATAAAAAAGTCAAAGGTATAAATGAGTTGTGCCCCAGCCCCTTAGAAAGAGGAATCAAGGAACTATAAACATGCAGGAACTGTGACATGCAGGCTCCATAGAGAGGAAAGGAGACTATGACTGTCAGAAGTCAGTTACCATGGCTCCTTATATCCCATAATACCCAGCACAGATCTCCATCAATGCTTCCTTGTCAGGCTAACATTTGTTAGCATAAGTGTTATATGCTGTGTGTTAGAGCTGCAGAGAAGCAGGGACAGGCTTTGCCCACAGTAAAGCCTGACACTCGGGCCCACATTTAGCACAGCCATTGCCGTACATGAACAGCACAACGTCCTGCTAAAGCCATCCACTATCATGACCAAACAGCCGAGAAGCATCTCAGAAGCAGGTTGTGATGATTTTAACTGTGTTCCCCGGGGGGCACAGATGTTCATCCACACCTCTTCTACACTGTACTTCAGTAAAACTTACAGAATGCTAAAAGATACTTAGTGGATACGTTTGCTAAAATGGATAAAAGATGTTAAAATATTTACACCTCAGATAGTGGGGCAAATATCACAAGGAATTTCCATTCTTTAAATTTTAGTCTCCAGTGCAGAAAACCCAAACTCTGCCAAGCTGATCATCTACCACTGAGCTACATCCCAGACTTAATATTATTTTAAAATTTCTTCTATTTTCTGTTTTCTTTTATTTTTAGCCATATGTGTGTATATGTATGTGGATATATATATGGGACACAATGAAATGTTTTGATAAGCATATGCAACCAACGGTGCATGAGCAAAACAATTTAATATATCCGTTACCATGCTTACCTTAATTTTCATGGTGAGACGTTGATGTTTACTCTTAGTTTTTCTGAAATATAATACTTTATATGGTCTTACACGTGTTAGCCAACAAAATCATGTTCCTAAACTTCATTATTATAGTCATACTGCTGACTGATAGTTCTCAACACCCATACTCCTTCTATCTGCAGTTTTACAGCATTTAATCTGCATCTCCCCTTTCTCTGCATGGTCAGAGGGTTTTAGGCATAAATTTAGCATATGTTTCTTAATTAAAAAGTAAAACTCTAGTTCCATCCATTTGTATGCAAAATTCAAGATGCCAATGTTTTTTGTTTGTTTGTTTTTGTTTTTACCATTGAGTAGTACTCCATTGTGTAAATGTGCCACATTTTTTTTTTTTTTTTTTTTTTTTTTTAGCTATTCTCCAGCTAAGGGGCATTTGGTTGTTTCCAGGTTCTGGCTATTACAAATAATGCTGCTATGATCATAGCTGAACAAATGTCTTTGTAGTATGACTGATCATCTCTTGGGTATATGCCCAAGAGTGGTATTGCTGGGTCCTGAGCTAGGTTGATTCCCAATTTTCTGAAAACCCACCATACTTATTTCCAGAGTGGCTGTACAAGTATGCATTCCCACCAGCAATGGATGAGTGTTCACCTTACTCCACATCCTCGCCAGAATAAGGTATTATTGGTGTTTTTTATCTTAGCCATTCTGACAGGTGAAAGATGGTATATCAGAATTGTTTTGATTTGCATTTCCCTGATGGTTAAGAATGTTAACATTTCCTTAAGTGTCTTTTGGCCATTTGAGATTCTTCTGCTGCGAATTCTCTGTTTAATTCTGTACCCCATTTTTTAAATTGTGATTTAGAATTTTGATATCTAATTTCTTGAGTTCTTCATATATTTTGGAGATCAGTTCTTTGCATGAAGAGGAATTGCAAATGGATGGAACTAAAAAACACCATCCTCAGTGAAGTAACCCAGACCCAAAAAAATGAATATAGTTTGTACTTACTCATAAGTGGATACTAGCCATAAACAAAGGATATTGAGCCTCAAGAAACTAAGTAACAAGGTGAACCCAAAGAAAAACATATATAGATCCACCTGGAAAGTCAAATAGACAAGATCAACTGACAAAATTGGAAATATAACAGAAGGGGAGAAGGGAGGGTAGCAAGAAAGAAAAAGGGAGAAGGGGAGGGGCAAGAAGAACTTGAGAGAACAGGATAGTCGAGATGGAGGAAAGACAGAGATGAGAGCAAGGAAAAAGATATCTTGATTGAGGGAGCCATTATGGGGTTAACAAGAAACTTGGATCTAGAGAAATTCCCAGGAATCCACAAGGATAACCCCAGCTAAGGCCCTAAGCAATAGAGGAGAAGGAGCCTGAACTGGCCTTGCCCTGTAGTCAGACTGATGAATATCTTAAATATCACCATAGAAACTTCATCCAGCAACTTATGGAAACAGAGGCAGAGACCTGCATCAGAGCACTGGGCTTCTATATAGTGAGTGATCAAGGTTTCCAGAGAACTTGCCTGCGTGTGTGTGTGTGTGTGTGTGTGTGTGTGTGTGTGTGTGTGTGTGTGTGGTATGTGTGTGTGTGTGTGTGGTGTGTGTGTGTGTTGTTGTTGTTGTTGTTGGTTTTTGGTTTTTGAGACAGGGTTACTTTTTAACTTTGGAGCCTGTCCTGGAACTAGCTCTTGTAGACCACGCTGGCCTCAAACTCACAGAGATCTGCCTGCCTCTGCCTTCTAAGCCCTGGGATTAAAGGCGTGCACCACCACCAGGCTCTGCCTGTATGTTTTAATTTTCTCCCAGTCATTTGCCCTCCCTTGGACTGTTGAAATAGGTGTGGCGGGGCTGCGTCCCCAACACCCCGGCCGCTTGGCTAGCTTATGCCCGAAATAACAACACACAAACTGTATTCATTAAAAGACTGCTTGGCCCATGAACTCTAGCCCTTACAGGCTAATTCTCGCACCTGGACTAGCCCATTTCTAATAATGCGTGTAAGCACCCCAAGGTGCCTCCGTCCATCCTGGTGTCTCTGCTCCAGAGAGCAGAGCTGTTGGGTCTCCCCGGGAGCAGAGCAGAGTCTGACCTCACTTCCTCTTCCGCCCAGAATTCTATTCTGTTTACTCCTCCCACCAATGCTTTAACCTATGAGGCCAAGCAGTGTGTTTATTACTTAACCAATGAAATCAACAGATTGATATATGACACTCCCACATCACTTGGACCTCTTCCCCCAGGCACACACACCTATTCTCTTCTTCAGGTTTCCATTTTCTGATTATTAGAATCAGCAACATTTTGGGAGGCAGCAAGAGCAGCTATGGACAAAGATGAGCAACCTAGGTTGGATATAGCCAGAATGTGGAGAAGGTTGTCTACTGTCCAGCCATAGCTCTATGGCCTAGGCACTGGCAGCCCCAGGAGCAGCTGGTCAGTTGTGCCCTACGTGTCTTCTGGGAGATGACTGGACTTCTACTGCCAGGCGACTTTGCTGCTTCTTCCCAGGGGGTCTTTTGTAAGATAACTAGAGAAAGCTCTTCTCCTTTGACTTCTGCAGTTCCCTTCTGTGTCCTCACTGGTGCGGGTGACATGCTAGCAACCAGAAAAGCAAGGCATCCAGAGTGAGGGGTTGCATGGAAGATTCGCCCTGACTGGTCAGCAAGGCTCATCTCTTGCTACTGTTATTATTATACTTGAGCTCGTCCTGATGGACACCCATCAGCACGACAAGAAGCTTCCTCTTCAACTCTGAACCCACCTTAGTGAGCAGCTGTATCCAGGTTCCTACAGCCTCAACTCCAACACTTCAAGGAACGGATCATAAACAGCCTAGGTCAGTTAGTAGTCTCATCGGTGTCCTCAATAAGGAGCATTTCCTGTCACACAACCCAAAGAAAATAAGAAGCCTCCCCCCCCGTATTAGTTTTTCCTCATCTCTACCCAACCTATTTCAGAAGAGCTCTGCCGTGGCCCCTTGGGACCTTGCCCATCACCTCCAGGCAGAGCTGGAGTCACAGCCAATCTGAGTCATGGCCACAGTGAGATCCCAGAACAGGAGAGGATGAGGACAGGCAGGGAAGCCAATGAGGCCACTGTTCTGATCGAGGCCACTATCCCTTGCCTCTCCCTCACCTGGATGCTGTCCGAGACAATTCCTTTTGATTTGGGGCTCCTCATCCCCACAGAGCAGAGATGCAGAGTGTAACCCACCCCCGACTCCTCATCACTCCCACCCCAGTGCTACCACAACACCACTCTGACCCCAGCTCCAGTCCAGACCAGAGTCCTCAGGGTCACTTGCTCCACCATCTTCATCACCATCACCAGGGTTCTTTTATTCTAGCATCATCTTTGGTGTTGGCGGGGTATGGTAGGGGGAGGCTCATGTAGCCCTGGACCTTTGATTCCTTCTTCCTTTCGATAGGCAATAAACTAATTGAACACAAAAGTGGCTTCTGGTCCCATTACTGGTCGGGTGAATCCGGTTCTGGCCTTTCCAAGGCAGTGAGTGCTTCAACCCCACACCTACAGTTTTCTTGGTAGTTTCCCTTGCTAAAAGTTTTCAAATTTTCTTTGAGAAAAGTGAGAGATTGCCCTCATCTGTTCAGTGTGTGTATTCTCAGCAAAATGTAGTGCTTCTATTTCAGCCGTGGGGAAGCTCGGAACCCCAGGAATAGATTGCGGCAAAACCCAGTTCTCAGGTGCTGAAATCATTCACTGCCTGCTACCTACACAGGAGTTCTGCTTTAGTGGGTGAGAAGCAGGTCCTGGGCTGTCTCAGGGTTTCTATTGCTGTGACAAAACACTATGGCCATAAAGCAAGTGGGGGAGGGAAGGGTTCATTTGGCTTATCCTTCTACATCGCTGCTTATGACTGAAAGATGTCAGAACAGGAACTCAAGCAGGGCAGGGTCCTGGAGGCAGGAGCTGATGGAGAGGCCATGGAGGAGTGCGGCTTACTTGCTTGCTTTCCCTGGCATGCTCAGTCTGCTTCCTTAGCGAACCCAGGACCAAAAGCCCAGGGATAGCAGCACCAACCATGGGCTGGGCCCTCCCCCATTGATCATTAATTGAGGAAATGCCTTACAGCTGGATTTCATGGAGGCGTTTCCTCGGCCGAGGCTCCTTCCTCTTGGATGACTCTAGCTTGTGTCAAGTTGACACACAAAACCAGCCAGTCCGTGAGCTTTCAGCTACTCTTCTTCATAAACTTTGCAGTCAGCATATGTTAGTCTTATGATTAGAAAGACCATGTAAATGTGACTAAAGGCTGTGACAATAATCACAGGCCGACACCCCCACCTGCCTTCCCCAGGACGCTCTCACCCCAGACTTGCAGGTGGTACTTCCGGGTGCAGGTGACAGGAGAGTGCTTCAGGTTGATGTGGGCCCTATAAGACCCTGCATCCTCCAGGTTCAGGTTGTTAATCTGCTGAGGGAAGTCAGGTCCCACAACACTCATGTGACCCCAGTGTCAAGTGTCTAGCTCTCCACTTTCCACCACAGCGATAGAGGCAAATGTCCTTGGTTATGAATGGCGTGTTGAAAGATGCTGTCCACCTGCCTTCCAGAGAGCAGCTCCAGGGGTCCCAAGGGTCCCAGTCCCCAGCAGGGATTCTGCATCCTCTCTGGAAGTCCCCTAGTCCTGTGAACCCAGAAGTTTCATGTTATCCAGAATAAACAGAAGGTCTCAGCATGTCTGAGAGCAAGCCAGGGACTTATTAACTCCATTTCTGAGATGAGGAAACAGAGCCAAACAACGTAGGTGGTTTGCTCAGGACCACACAGCCAGATGGTGATTCAACTAGAGTAAGGCTGCAATTCCCATCACTACCAGCAGAGGGCTCTCTTCTACACAGACACAGAAAGAAACAGCTATTGATGTGGAGTACTTGCAAAATACCTAATGATCCCTGCTGCCCCGAGTCATTCCTGCTGGTGGATGAACTAAAGCAGAATGCATTTGTAGGCATTGTTGCCCTGCAGCATCCCCAGAGCTGCGGGTCCCCAAACAGATACCCAGCCATGATTCCTGGGAACAGGATTAGCACCCGGTTGCCTAAGGCAATTTAAAGGTGCTCTGTGGGGCGTTTGCTAAATCCCAACATAAAGTGCACATGAGAGATAAGTCTAAGAGCAGCCAAGTTCAAACTCTTGCTTTTACCAGGTATTAGCTGTTATCTCGAATCAAGTTTCTTAATTTGCTCCCCTGTGGTGTGACATCTGGGATTTTTGTGAGGGCTACGTGAAATAAGGTAGAAAACATTACTCACTATCTTTATTAGCGTGCCCTATGATTATTACAGTTCAATAGAATTCACCATTAGTATTCTTCAAGATTCATCTTTTTAAATGACATGCTTGTGCCCCAGCCATGTGGAGGTTGGAGGACAAGGGCAACTTGAAGAACTTGGTTCTCTCCTTCCATAATGTGGGCTCAAGGGCCTGAGCTCACAGCGTCAGCCTTGGTGACAAGAGCCTTTATCCACTGAGCCATCACCTCTCAGCCCTTCTTAAAGATCCTTACTATCTCTGAAATCCGTTAGCGGATATATCTCGTTTGCCCGTCACCTAAATTGTTCAACCTCCTTGTAGAGATGTTTTCTTTTGTTTTATTTTCTGAGACAGAGACTCGTGTAGTGCAGCCTGGCCTTCAACTCAGTGTACAGCTAAGGATAATCTTGAATTCTTGTTCCTCTGTCCCAGGCACCCATGTAGGGGGGTTACAGTGCTGTCTGTCTTGCCAAGATGGTTGTTCTAGATAAAATATCACTGTGTAGCGCTATCTCACCTGGAATTAACTATGCAGAGCAGGCTGGCCTTGAACCCATAAATTCCCTCCCAAATTCTTGGATTAAAGGCATGTATCACTGTGCCCAGATGCAGAAACATTTTTAAAGTGACTTCTCAGTGGCATGACCCATCTTTGTAGAAGATTCTACTGGTAGCTGAGACCCTAGGTTGGGTTTTACCCCACAATTCCAAGAAGCAAAAAGTTAAAAGCTGGCCAACGTCTGCCAAATAGGCATTTAAAGAGAAAAGCCATTATGGCACCAGGAAAGGTCTGTATCCGGATATAAATTTGGATCCAGAGTGCTGACCAAATCATTGTACCCGAGTGTAATGAGTAGGCGCCAGCTAAAAGCTAAACAAGGGACTTGGGAGGTGGCTCACTCAGTAAATTGTTTGCCAAGCAAGAATGAAGATGTGTAATAAGCCAGACACATGTCCTGTGCTTGTAACTGCAGTAGTGCAAGAGGAAGGGAGGAGACAGGGGCCCTTAGGGCTTGTTGGGCAACCAATTTAGCCAAATATGTGAGCTCAATGATCAGTGAGAGATTCCGTCTCAAAAAATAAAGCAGGGCTAGGTGTGGTGGCCCACACCTTTAATCCCAGCACTCAGAAGGCAGAGGTAGTTGAATCTCTAAGAGCTCAAGGCTAGCCTGATCTATACAGAAAGTTCTGGGCCAACTAGGGTTATATAGCAGGACCTTGTCTCAAAAAAAAAAAAAAAAGAAAGAAAGAAAAGTAATCAAGGGAAACACTCTACATAGACCTCTGACCACAGTATGTGTCCACACATGTACATATCCATCTGCATATGATGTACACACACGTTTGCATGCACACATGCACGCACGCACACACACACACACACACACACACACAGTTGAGCTAAGCAGCCTTGTTTACAGTACCTGTGGCACCAGACTGATGCCAAGCTGGTGGCATGCCAGGGAATCACAGCATCCTAGTTTGCTCATCGTTGAATCCACTGGACACTGTTCACGTCCTCTGCAGAGCTATTCTGGTTCCACTAGGATCAGGCTGTTAGGACTCATCCACAGGAGAACAGTTTCGACATCAGATATACACTCCTCTCTGAGCATTGCCCCCATCTGAAATATACCCTGGGGGATCCCACCTTGCGAAAGCAGCTCTGGGGTCCCTGAAGCTGGTATAGTCGCTCTTCCGCTGCTGCAGCCTTCTCCTAGTCCCATGATCCTGGCCCAGCCATGCCCTCCCTGAGTTTCCGACATTTATTGACCAGTTTGGTTTCAAACATGTACTTCATCCTACCTCATATGAAGAGCTGTGTATGAGTCTTCTCCAAGAGCCATGAGTCCCTCCAGGGTAAGAGAAGGTGGGGGTAATAAATACCTGCAATAAGGTAAGGAATAAAATGCCTTATTTTATGCAGAAAGCTGGCTACATTAGCCTCATAGTTAGGTGTAGCAGGGCATGTATCAGGCTGATAGTGTGAAGCCCATTTCTTGACTCAACTGAAGGGAAAGTGGCACAAGGGGGTCAGACACAGGGCACAAATCCCAACACCCGGACTCTTGTCTGAGGGCATTGTGTGTGCCATTTTATCCTCCCAACCAACGCGTAAGGCACGATTTCTATTTCCATTCTACAAATGAACACCGTGAGATTCAGGGAACCTAAGTGCTTGCCCGTACTCCCCAAGGAGGGAGTAGCAGGGGGAAAACAAACAAACAAACAAACACACAGGCATTTTGGATCCCAGCCTGATATCCACTTTACTACACTGCTTCCCTAGCAGGGATCCCCAGGCAAAGGTTCTCCTCATAGTGGCTAACCTCGGTTGTCAACGCGGCACACTGGGGAAAGGGAGCTTCATTTGAAGAACTGCCCCATCAAATTGTCCTGTGGACATGTCTGCCGGGCATTTTCTTGATTGCTAATGGTTCAGGAGCCTCCAGCCCATCATACATGGTACTATCCCTAGGTTGTGGATTTGGGTTGTTTAAGAAGAGCAGCTGAGTGTGAGTCTGGGACCAAGCCAGTAAGCAGCCTACCGCATGCTTTCTGCCTCAAGTTCCTGCCTTGGGCTCCCTAGATGATGGACTGTAACCTGTACAATGAAAAAACCCCTTCTTCCCCAAGCTGTTTTTGATCATGGTGTGCATTACCGCAACAGAGACCACGCTAGAATTCTCCCCATTTCAAAAATTGTCGGAAAGATTCAGTTCTTTAAAATCCTAATGGCTGTAGTTAGGAACTACTAAGCCATAAGCACTTCAAAGTGTTTCATCCATGGTTCATCAGTATGTTAAGAAACAGTGTTTGTAGTGGGAATAACCATGATGGTCAATGACTTGCAGCTAAGACAACCTGGGTTTCTCCTGAAGGAAAACAAACGTGAAAGAATAAAACTCATAAGACTAAGAAAGGAACGCAACCTTCGCTGTGGGTTTCCCAAGGTCTAGCTTCCCCTAACCGCCACCATCGGAGCCACCTCCTGCCATCTCTTAGGTCCCTGGGGATGAGCTGTGAGAACCCTTAGAGACAGAAACCGTTAAGCACATGCCAGACCTGTGCCCTGAAGTTGTTTGTGAAACGTGGCAGTCTCCGTTCTTAACAGTGAGTGACTCTCGGGGGCTGGAAGGAAAAGGAGAAATGAGAAAGAGA